GTGTGTGTGTGTGTGTGTGTGTGTGTGTGTGTGTGTGTGTGCGTGCGTGTGTGTGCGCGTGTGTGCGTGTGTGTGTGTGTGTGCACTTGACCCCGTGCAATCACACGACGAGGCACTGACACAAGTCAGCCGTGATGCATAGGAGTATTTGAGCATGCATTCACCTGGTTGTGGGAAGAGCGCAGTACACAAGAGGTACACAATGGAGAGTAGGGATTTTTTGTTGTAACTCAGAGTTGTCATGGTTACAACCAATCATCGGACAACCCCTCTTGCCTAACCCCTCTTGCCTTGTGTACCTCTTGTGTCTGTACTAGAGAGGTTCTGCTATACGTGAAACGTAGAGAAATCACGTAGAGAGCAGGTATCTGGGTTAGAGTCTACGGCTTCGCGTGTTTTGGGTCCAGATTTCTACGCGTAGATGAGGTCACAGTCTCTACGTTGTGCCACACGCAAAGAAAATGCGTGGGTATCACACAAGTGCAGGCAGAAAACTGCCAAATATGGAAGGGGAACTTCCCCGTACACATTCCACGTGACTTCTCTACGTGAAACGTAGAGCAGAACAGGATTTCTTTATGTTACGGGAACGCGAAGAGAGTTCGCGTGATTCTTTGTGTCGCGTTCCCGAAACGTAGAGCAGAACCTCGTAACTGTTTCCCAATATTTTTGTTTTTTTCCAGGGCTCTATGAAAGAGATGATGAATCTAAGCCAGCAAGAGTATGTGAAGCGTATTGATGAGTTGCATAAGGCCATGTCTGATGCATGGGAAGGCGACCAGCGCGTCAAGACTCTCAAGATTGCTATTCAGGTTTGTGCCCATGTCTGTGTGTGTGTGCGTGGGGGGGGGGGGGGGGGGGGTGCTTGTGTGTGTGTGTGTGGGGGGGGGGGGGGGGTGCTTATGTGTGTGTACGTGTGTGTACGCGCATGGGTGTGCGTGTGTATGTGTGTACGCGCACGTGTGTGTGTTGGTTACATGCTTGTCTTGATCGCTGTGCTGTGCTGTGCCTGCCTGCCTGCTGCTGCAGTGCTCCAAGTTGCTGGGCGACACGAACGTGATTAAGTTCTACCCGAGCAAGTTTGTCCTCATCACGGACATACTGGATACGTTTGGTAAGCCATGCTCTGTTCTTCCGATTTTTTTATACTTGATGGAGAGCCAAGGATTAGTTTATATTTGTAACATGGAAATTGTGGGCACATATTTTCCACATATTCCACATATTTCCACATATTTTCCTTGGTTCACCACCTGAGATTAATTTATAGAAAAGAAAAAGGACCAAGGAACTACAATGCTATCGCATGAGCTGATTGTTTAGTAACCGGTGGTGTTAGTGGACATTGTAGCGTACCTTGTACTAGTTCCTTGGTCCTTTTTCTTTTCTATATATTACACATGTAGCCACGTATATTCGTAGTGCCGAAAAGTCAATCCATCTTCCGTAATAGTGATGAATGTGACATGGAAATCGATTTTGGAAAACCTTCATGCCTTTATTGTTGTGCGGCGATGACGGCAGAATTTTGTTCTCTTTATTGCTATTTTAAGCACCTTCCGTAACTCGACGTGTTTTCGACCCACGCAAGCATCTCTCCAGACCATAGCGATTTATTTCTGAAGCACCCCCGATTGAGGCAGAAATGTTCAGGGCTGTAGCTGAACCCACCTAGTGCAGCTTTCCACCTGACGTTTAGGTTTTGGTGCCGCTGCCTTTTTAAAATCGGAAGCGCCCCTATACAATGCAGGATTCAATTTACCAGCACCCCTGTTTACCCAATGCTTGCATGTAATCACTAAGGGCGCGTTCAGACTACCGAGAACCCCGCGTCAAACCGTGAATGGCGATAAACCGTGAACGATATTTGCACTACCGGTAATAAACTAATATTACTTGTGCAGCTCTCACCGCGGCATTAAGAAGGGATTTTCCCCTGCTCAAAGCCTGAGCACCTTCAAAGCTTGTTTTACTGCCGGAATGCCGTGTCCGCAGCAGCAGCCGCGGCAGTAAAACTGTTCCGCCGGCAAAGTGCCAGTAACGTCACTTGATCCTATCACCCTGGAAACTTTCCCATTCCGTCTTTTTTTTATCGGTGGTCTGAACGCGCCCTTACCGTATTGTCTTGTATTAAGTTATGAAAGCCTGTATAGAAGACTGTTTCGAATACAAGCCTGATTCTCAAGATTCACTGACAGCACTTATGCCTGGTTTTAGTGTTGACATACATAGAAATACCTGATGTGAATGGAAGCCAAGCCCATGACATCGGCTTCTACAGTAATAAGCTAGGAGGTGCATTCTGTAAAAGAAAAGAAAAAAGCCCGGCTTTAATACGCGACATTATGGTACTCATGTTTCTTGCCCTGTTCTCGGTGTCTTGCTCATGCCCTGCCCTGCAGGTCGCTTGGTCTACGACCGTATTTGGCGCAAGTCCACCATCTCCGTGCCGGGAAGCAGTGTGCCGGTCATGTTGCCAGGTGAGTGGTTGCCATAGTGTCAGTCATGTTGCCAGGCGAGTGGTTGCCATGGTGCCAGGTGAGTGGTTGCCATGGTGCCAGGTGAGTGGTTGCCATGGTGCCGGTCATGTTTGTTATCAAATGTACGCCGTCTATATATGGGTACTGTACTCTACGTTACTACTCTACTTTATCACTCTCTTTACACGGCAGCACGGAATGTAGGTTATGATAACAGTTATATTCATTGAACACAAAGAGGACTAAAGCAGAGGACTCGGGGGCAATTATGAGGAGAAGACAACTCGGAGGACTACCAACTGTAAGAACAACTGGGAGAACGACTAGGAGAACCCACTAGGAGACCTACTCGGAGAATCAACACTGCGCAAGCGCAGCCTTCTGGTTATATCTAAAGTTGTTGAGGTAAAAAGGGGTGCATGCAGTAAGTGGCAATAGGGTGAGCGGGAAAAGGGGTGCATGCAGTAAGTGGCAATAGGGTGAGCGGGAAAAGGGGTGCATGCAGTAAGTGGCAATAGGGTGAGCGGGAAAAGGGGTGCATGCAGTAAGTGGCAATAGGGTGAGCGGGAAAAGGGGTGCATGCAGTAAGTGGCAATAGGGTGAGCGGGAAAAGGGGTGCATGAATGTGTAGGGAGTGCATGAACGTGTGTAGGGGAGTGCGTGCGTACGGGAATGTGTACGGGGCTAAAGGACTCATGCAACATTACCCCCCTCTCTGGGTGGAAAGGACTCGTGTCCCCACGAGAAGAAAAACAAACAAAATACTGGATGGTTAAAGAATGTAAAGCGGGAATCACATACACAACTCACACACAACACGTATTCACCACATGCACAGTACACGATACATGAATAAAAAGAATCTAAAAAAAAAAAAATGAAGTTAATTAAGTGTAATAGGGCAGTCGGGGGGGGGGGGGGGGGGGGGCTCACAGACACACCACACACAGCGCCACGCACGCAACATACCAACACCAGACAATTTAACAACGCATTACACATATCAACACCAGACAATTTAACAACGCATGTAACACAATTCTTACTCGGACAACTCACACTCCGACACCAACTCCACGTCATCACGAAAACGGTTATACCTAGTGGAGGCAGGAGGTGGGGGCGTGGGCGGGGGTGGGGTGGGACGGGGAGGTGGATTGTTAGTGCTTCGTCGTGCTCACCGATCAGCGGCATGGCGGCGAGCCCGGGCGATGTAGGCGGCCGATCGGACTCGCCGCTGGTCCTGCCGCTGCGCCTGACGTCGCCGGATGACGCAGCGCGCATCCTCCTGCCGTCGCATCAGGGGACGGATGGGTTGGCGAGGAGGTGGTGGCGGTGGTGGTGGTTCGCGGCCCGCGGCCGGAAGCATCTGCACCGTGATGGTACTGCATACCAGACAGAACACAGGGGAAGACACACAGCCACCCACAAACAAACCAAAACAGCAATGTATGGGTTAGAAGCCACAGAGGACGAACACTCTGCAGGAGACAGCGAGGACGAACGCTCGGCTGAAGAAGAATAGCTAAATATTATACGGGCACTGCAACAGCGAGGACGAACACTCGGCTGAAGAGGAATAGTTAAATATTACACGGGCACTGCAACAGCGAGGACGAACACTCGGCTGAAGAGGAATAGTTAAATATTACGGACACTGCAACAGCGAGGACGAACACTCGGCTGAAGAGGATTAGTTAAATATTACGGACACTGCAACAGCGAGGACGAACACTCGGCTGAAGAGGATTAGTTAAATATTACGGACACTGCAACAGCGAGGACGAACACTCGGCTGAAGAGGATTAGGTAAATAAAAAAAGCTAGCTGCTCTACCGCGATACCGACTGCTCTACCGACTGTACTGCCCGGCTAGCTCAGTCGGTAGAGCATGAGACTCTTAATCTCAGGGTCGTGGGTTCGAGCCCCACGTTGGGCGCCAATGTTATCAAATGTACGCCGTCTATATATGGGTACTGTACTCTACGTTACTACTCTACTTTATCACACTCTTTACACGGCAGCACGGAATGTAGGTTATGATAACAGTTATATTCATTGAACACAAAGAGGACTAAAGCAGAGGACTCGGGGGCAATTATGAGGAGAAGACAACTCGGAGGACTACCAACTGTAAGAACAACTGGGAGAACGACTAGGAGAACCCACTAGGAGAACTACTCGGAGAATCAACACTGCGCAAGCGCAGCCTTCTGGTTATATCTAAAGTTGTTGAGGTAAAAAGGGGTGCATGCAGTAAGTGGCAATAGGGTGAGCGGGGAAAGGGGTGCATGCAGTAAGTGGCAATAGGGTGAGCGGGAAAAGGGGCGCATGCAGTAAGTGGCAATAGGGTGAGCGGGAAAAGGGGTGCATGCAGTAAGTGGCAATAGGGTGAGCGGGAAAAGGGGTGCATGCAGTAAGTGGCAATAGGGTGAGCGGGAAAAGGGGTGCATGCAGTAAGTGGCAATAGGGTGAGCGGGAAAAGGGGTGCATGCAGTAAGTGGCAATAGGGTGAGCGGGAAAAGGGGTGCATGCAGTAAGTGGCAATAGGGTGAGCGGGAAAAGGGGTGCATGCAGTAAGTGGCAATAGGGTGAGCGGGAAAAGGGGTGCATGCAGTAAGTGGCAATAGGGTGAGCGGGAAAAGGGGTGCATGCAGTAAGTGGCAATAGGGTGAGCGGGAAAAGGGGTGCATGAATGTGTAGGGAGTGCATGAACGTGTGTAGGGAGTGCATGAACGTGTGTAGGGGAGTGCGTGCGTACGGGAATGTGTACGGGGCTAAAGGACTCATGCAACATGTTGCCAGGTGAGTGGTTGCCATGGTGCCGGTCATGTTGCCAGGTGAGTGGTTGCCATGGTGCCGGTTATGTTGCCAGGTGAGTGGGTAGCTAGTACTACTCGGAAACTAGTCTCAGTACCATTGTCTTTGAATTGATAACCGCAATCAATAAGACAAGCTGAATCGACATTTGTGTATACTTTATTCATGGAATGTAAAGCGGAGGAGATAATGTGCTATAAAACAATGAAAATAGGAAGAAATAGTGTAGAGAAAAGGTTAGGAGTCTTTTCATTATTATTTTCAAGCTGGGTATGTGAACCTTGTGGAGAAGTAGATAAGCAGTAACTTTCGGCCTTGTCAGTAAGAGCATATGAAGGTGTGAACATAGTATTTATTTTTAAGCTGGATTAGCTTATGCTAAAGCTGTATCAGCTATCACTGATGCTGAATTAGCTCACCCTAAATCTGGTATTTGCTAGTAAAGCTGAAAACAATGAATGTACAATCATGTAGCTTTGTGTCATGGGTTACATTTTCAAATGCATACTCGTACATACCTCTTTTCTCAGACATGACTTTCTTTACCGATACCAGTCTACCGATATTCTCTTTGTTCGTATCCCATGCTCTGGTTTTACTTGTGGTTGTTGTCATTGTTGCTGGCGCTGTTGCAGAGAAGTTCACGGTGGAACAGGTGCCTGACTCCGCCAAGGAGACCTGTCGCAACTGGTTTTTCAAGATTGCCTCCATTCGCGAGCTTGTTCCCCGATTGTATCCTCGCACCCAGTTCACCACTGATACTCTGTTCATGGCACACAGCAGTAGTGCAGCTCCCTGCTGATACTCTGTTCATGGCACACTGCAAGAGTACGGCAATGCACATAGTGTGCAGCTGCCATGATTCGTTTTCAGAATTTTAAAACGTCATTTTTCATGCTGTAGCCAGCTGTATGCATGCATTCACGATGTAAGTTCTGCTATGCCCAGCGTGGCTGTCTCTCTCTCTCTCTCTCTCTCTCTCTCTCTCTCTCTCTCTCTCTCTCTCTCTCTCTCTCTCTCTCTCTCTCTCTCTCTCTCTCTCTCTCTCTCTCTCTCGTCTCTCTCTCTCTCTCTCTCGTCTCTCTCTCTCTCTCTCTCTCTCTCTCTCTCTCTCGTTGTTTGATACTTCTGCTCAGTAGGGTATGTTGTCGGAGAAATAAACATTAGTTTACCCTGTCCTATCGGTCTGATACTATCCTTGACTAGTGCGTGTCGTGTTCAGCTTTGTCGAGACGGCCATCTTGAGATGCTACAATTTCCTTACCACGGAGTAAGTTACTGTCATGAGCGAATTTTCTCTTTGTCACCGCTAATTAGGGCGCGCATATTCCAAGCGTATCCGTTGTGTCAAGTATTGTGGTGGCGGACTGAAAGTACCCGCTGTGGAAATCTGTCGCTTACCCCATGGATAGCCACTAGGTCTGGCCTTTACCCCCTTGGCACGTTGATCCGTTGCCCTCCGGCCAGGTCGCTCCCTTGCCCATTGGTAGGTGTGTCGATCCCTTGGCTTTTGGGCAGGTATGTCTCTTACCCCTATCCCTGGACTGGTCTCTCCCTTCATCTCAGAGCAGGTCTGAATACCTTCCTAAGGGTGGGTCTGTGAATGTCAGGTGATTGATTTGTTCTCATTTCCGTCTCTCTCTCTCTCACTCTCTCTCTCACTCACTCACTCACTCTCTCTCTCTCTCTCTCTCTCTCTCTCTCTCTCTCTCTCTCCTGTGTGTGTCTCTCTGTGTCTTTCTTTCTGCTTCTGCAACTGCTGGTGCTTCTGCTGCTGTGTCTCTTCCACAGTGAGTTTGCCGAGGCAATGCGGCGCTTGACAAACATGATCCGTGGCATTGGCAATCCACTTGTGGCCGTCTACGCTCGCTGCTACCTGTGTCGCGTAAGAGCGTGTGTAACTGTTACTGATGACGATCAAAATACCTTTGTGCTAATAACTACAATTTGTGTGTGTGTGTGGCTTGCAATATGCTTCTTCTTCCTTTTTTCTGTGAGATCATGAAAGCTGCTTGTGATCCACACTCAACGGTGGCTCTTGTGCCGAGATCAAGATGTCTTTGTGTTTGTGTGTGTGTGTGCGCGTGCGCGCGTGTGTATGTATATATGTGTGTGTGTGTGTACGTGTGTGTGTGTGTGTGTGTGTGTGTGTGTGTGCGTGTGTGTGTGTTTTGTGTGTGTGTGTGTGTGTGCACGTGTGTGTGCACGTGTACCTTGTCTGTGCATAGGTGGGCGCTCTGGTGGCGCCACATGTGCGCAGTCATCTGATGCCCAACCTTTACGACTTCATGAACGCGTACACGCAGGTACGTTGGAAAGCGTTGTTGCCCGTGGAACGCATTGCTTACGTTGTGAATGCGGGACACAACTGAACGGGACGTTTGCATCAATTTCCCACCGTTAGGTTTTGCGGAGCAAGTCCACTACAACCGTACACACTGTTATACCAACTCTGTATAAAAGATCATGAACTTTGTAAGGTCGTACTCGTAAATGTACTAGAGTGGGTTGTACCCGTCAAAAACGGGGCAACTTGCCCCGCAAAAAGGAGACGGCGTACCTGCAGGCTACAGTTTTCACACCAAGGTTCAACTCAAAGGTTCACCTCGAGTGACAGGAACGGGCCCAAACAGGCTGTAAATTGTAGCCTGAGGGCACGGTGACCAGGTGACTGGTGTACGCATGGGCAGGTGACCACTTACTCAAACGTGTTCGATTGGGAATAATGGCCCAACGCTGCATGGCAGCCTTTTCGGACCAAAACCAGTCGACTCAGCTGCCAAAAGACTACAAAATATGGACCAATCGCGGTCACCCGTGCTTTTATAAGAACGAAACGGCGTTTTTGGTGACTTTTTGCATACACATCCCTATCTAGTAGGGCGCAGTCACCCAGTTTCGGTGGAAGTGCGCGAGTTCGATTGGGAATAAAGGAGGAAGGGAGCAACTCAGTTTCCTCGGACCAAGACCATTCGACTCAGCACCCCGAAGACTACAACTGGTGAAAAATTTGATTTTAGGGTATACTTCCCCTTTAAAGGGGAACTCCGGTCCAAAATCACCCCCATTTTTTATTGCGGAATCCATTAGAGTATGTCGTAAGTGGTAGAATGGCGAAAACCGGAAGCTTCTACGACAAGGATAACATACCTAAATTACCAATTGCAATTTTCCATATTTGGCACGAGGGGGCCCCCTCCCACCCTGTGACGTAAAACGTTCTCAGCCCGGTCCACTCAGATGAAGTTTTCAAATAATTGAAGCAAGAATGAAAAGTCCTTGGCCATTGTTGAAGTGCTTGTTGTTCTATGCCATGCCCGATTTATTGTCACGACTCGCTGCTGCGTCTCTGGATGCGACAATGTCACGAAGAAAGAGGCGCCTGCGGGCTGTCGTAGCATGGCTTTCCTCTGGCTGACGCGAACCTGACGACAGCTTGGCTATGGAGAGTATGTTGGAAGTATTTTTCTCCGACGAAAAATAATCGTGTCTGCACTGAGCATTTCACTGAGATGTGCTATGAAAGAGATTTCCAACAAGAGTTTGCACAAAGCATTGGTGGCTATAAGCAGAAGCAGCAGCGACGCTTGAAGCCAGGGTCTCTGCCATCCTGAAACTTGACGGTGCATGTCATACTAATAGTTAGTAGCTCCTCTACCTCTGCTGCCAGCAAAAGCAGACCATCTTCGATTTACTTCCAGGAACGTGAGCACGATGAGGTAAGTGAACGGCATGATTTTGTGCCGTCCAGAACGTAGCTCTAAACGACTACAGTCCTACTCAAAGTCCTCTACTCAAAATCCTAGTCAGTGAAGTCGAGAATTGATGTAATGTACATGGAACGTTATCATGTGTGTTATTTCGGTTCTCTTTATCTGTAAGTTTCCATTGCGTTACTTTCCGGTTGCAGCTACACTGCCACAAATACAAGGTACAGTATGATTTGTAGTCTGGAAATTTTCCATGCTGTCATACTGAAGTGGGCACCAAAACGTGTCCACTTTTCGTACAATGGCATGAGAGCACGGGTACAGTCGGCATGTCTGTCCCACAATGCCAATATTGGGAGAGCGCACGCCAAAACCAAGGAGGGTGTGCTCAGGTACAGGCTGGAATACACCAAAAGAACAAAGTGGCCAAGAAGCTGCACGACAATGTCCTGCAACTTCTTGAAGGACCTGTTGAACGATGTGCATACAACCATTCTCGGCATTCGCAACGGCACACGGCACCGGCACAACCCCATGCTCCCGAACACAGTACAGTCTTGTGCCATTGTATCTGTCAACTTTACCAGATTGTTCGTGCAGCTGCATTGGTGCAAAGCATGCGCCCACCCGAAAACACAAATATTGCCCGAGTCAAGAATAGTTATAAATCGTGTCTGTCAACTGTTTTCTACATTCTGCATGCACATGTACCAATGATTATGTGAACGTCAACCAGGCCAAGAAGCATTATCATCATCATCATCATCATGTCAAACTGCTTCCTCAAAGCCCCAGTGCGCATCTGCATTGGCTTCTGGTACAGCTGCTTTATCTTCGATACCACGCAAGACGGTATCACACGCCGCTGCTTGCGTCCAAAGTATCCATGGGTGAACCATGTGTATTGTCTATACGCCACATGTCTCCAAATCCTGCACAAAACAGTTGGAGAGATGTAGATACACATACCACGAGTGTCTTCATGATTGTGTAAAAGTAAATACTAGTAGTTTCAGTGTAAATAGTTTCGGATTCGAGTTAATATTTCTATGGGCTACTATACTAAAGACACTTTGGCCTTTTTTCAAATTTACATCACTTTTACACACAGTTGAAACACTTACAGTGCTAGGAATAGTATGAATGAAAGACATCGTTGTACCAGTATAATTATATTGGCATGGGTGCAATAGAACTTCATGATTGTGTGATGGAAGTTGGTGAATTTGAATACTGTACACAAAATCATTGCACAACACCTCCCATCTACTTTGTACCGGTACATGAAACATGGAAAGAAAGGAAATAATGAAACCGATTCAGTGAATCCTCACCTGTTTGACCACGGTCCACAGCTTGCCCGAAATTCTTCGAAGGAAAGCAATGCCACCTCGAGCACTGATTTTTGCAGGCAAACAACAGCAAACTCTGAGTGCTGCGTGACGCACTGCAGCCCTTCCTGCTCGCCGCGTTTACTGAAAGCTGCAGGAACCTCCCAGCAACAAGTCGACTCGACCTCGCTCCACATCATGCTGCATTGTCCGCAACGGCATCAAGCAGTGCTTCTCACGCGAGCACTTGCAACCAAAGCGTTCTCTTCACGTTCATCTGTTTTGTAGTCTCAGAAATATTACTTGTAGACAGTTTCGCAGACGCTGATGCGCGCTTCGGCTCGAACCTAAAAGGCCTCGGTGTTGTTGAATCCGAAGTGGCGTCCACCTCCACACCTCCCGTGGTCTCCTCTTCCTCCAACATGATGATCGAATGAATACTAGTACAAGGGTTATTGATTGAAGAAAAAACAGTGAATACCTTTTTCAAAATTTCTGCAGGTCTACCATTTGAATAAAAAAATTTGGAGGTCACTGAGAACGTTTTACGTCACAGGGTGGGCGGGGGCCCCCTCGTGCCAAATATGGAAAATTGCAATTGGTAATTTAGGTATGTTATCCTTGTCGTAGAAGCTTCCGGTTTTCGCCATTCTACCACTTACGGCATACTCTAATGGATTCCGCAATAAAAAATGGGGGTGATTTTGGACCGGAGTTCCCCTTTAAAAACCAGCGGTGAAACGAACATCCAAACCCAGCAGCTGAATATTCTTTGGCTTAACGAGCGAACGAATATTCTTTCGTTAACACGGATGACACCACATGCCCTCCTCTCAGTCATGTAGTAGTAGTATTCTTTTATTTTCCATCGGAAGCCTCAACAGGCATGGCAGACGCTAGTGCCATATACAATGTACCACTTCATAATGCCATTTCGAAGTGCATCACAAGTTCTGTACACTAGTGGCAGCCCAGTATGTGCGTGTATGCGTGCGCATGCAGTACGAAGTCACAGGACTGGCTGTATACACTGCACTGTGTTCAGCGTGCATGCACCTGCATACACTGCACTCGAGGTGACGTAACGAATACTCACCATGAGAAATATTTGTTCGAATGTGACAAACCGAACGAATAGTCGAATATTCGGTATATTCGTTTCACCACCATACATTATACATCACCATGTGAAGTTCATCCACCGTCCGTAGAGGGCTCAATTTGCCGAAAGCAAAGAGCGGAATACACAGCAGAAGAACGAGCAGTTGTTTTTCGTCACTCGAGTTTCACGAACTGAATCGATCATCAGACGAAAGTAGACTTCTATTGTCGTCTGCTCATTCTTCTGTCTGTGTACATGAGACATCATTGCTTTTAGAATGGTTATAGGATGTCATATTGTGATGCTCTTCGTGCACGTACAGGTTGTCTGATCTGTGTGTGTCTTGTTTTTGTTGTTTTTCTCATGGTTTGTGCAGCTAAACAGCGACCATGTCAACAATGTGCTGGCTATGCAGAGAGTTGGTGAGGTCTCTCTCTCTCTCTCTCTCTCTCTCTCTCTCTCTCTCTCTCTCTCTCTCTCTCTCTCTCTCTCTCTCTCTCTCTCTCTCTCTCTCTCTCTCTCTCTCTCTCTCTCTCTCTCTCTCTCTCTCTCTCTCTCTCTCTCTCTCTCTCTCTCTCACTCGCTCCCTCACTCCCTCCCACTCTCCCTCCCTCACTCACTCACTCACGTACACTTATACTCAATCTCTTCTCTCTTCTCCCTCTAAGTCGTACACATTTTCTCTTTTCCTCTGCTTTTTCCAAGCTTGCTAAGTGTGTCCTGTTCTTATAAAGGACCCAGATCATCCCATACCTCTACAATACCTGTATCTGATGGTTATCTATTCATCTCACTAGCCCTGTTATCCGTTGGTCCTTCTATGTTTGTGTCCTTTGTGTATTTATTTGTGTGTGTGTGTGTGTGTGTGTGTGTGTGTGTGTGTGTGTGTGTGTGTGTGTGCGTGCGTGCGTGTGTGTGCATACGACATGTGTCCTTGTAGACTTTGCGGACTACTTGCAGTTGTTTGTGCCCGGCCTGGAGTGGATGCTGCAGTGCGTCGCGAATCGCGCTCAAGAGGTATGCGAGGGCACCCTCCTCCTTTGACGAACATGTAGACGGGAATCTGATGAAGCAACTGCCTATCACTGCCATGCTCAAACCGGGGACTTTCCCCATGTAGAGTTGGTGCAGTGATGTCATTTTTGCTGGAGTGGTGTGTGTGTGGGGGGGGGGGGGGGGGGAGTTCAAAAGATCTCCCCCGAAGAGTACTCTAATTATATTAGCAGAAATTTTAGGTGCTTAAAATTTTTGGTACGTCAGAGGGCAAATACCAGAGCAGGTAAAAAAAAACTAGGCACAAAGATGCAGTTCCCTATTGGATAATGTGTGCCACTGTCAGTTGTTTGTGCGGCCATTGACATTTTGGATACGACAGAGAGATGCACCGAAAGTACTGAAAATTGAAGTACAGTCAACTTTGCGTATAAGGACACTCGGCGGGGCATCGGAAAAGTGTCCTTATTCGCGAAGTGTCCTTATACGCGAAGTCTCATATGTATACAGTCAGATGGGAATTTGCTCTGGGCATGGCAATTCTGTCGTTATTCGCGAATTGTCGTTATATCTGCAGTCGTTATTATTGAAGTTGACTGTACACTGAAATTTTGTGAATTTACAGTTAACATGACTGTGTTATAACTTATGAGGTCATTGGAAATTAATGAAGCGGCGTAGCCCTGAATGCCGCAACTGTCGTCGTTGCTTTACACAGCACCGTGTTTGGAGAGGGGCAGACCTACAGTACGGTCCTTGACTGTGCTAGCGCCGTGGGTACTCCAACTACGGAAAGTAGTGGGGTGGAAGCATGAAGCTAGGTACCGGTATATTTATAGTGTAGCCAGTATTACAGTACTGTTGGTCGCTGAAGAACTGGGGGGTCAGCCTCCTATCCTAGACCGTTCTTATTTTCATGTATTGCAGTCTACCGTGTGCACATCGGTATGCTGGGCTTGGTGAAATTCTAGCCTGGTCGCTCTTCGGCTCTCCGTTCTTCGGCGCTACGTTCTTCGACGCTCCGTTCTTCGGCGCTCCGTTCTTCGGCGCCCGCCAGTACTGTAGTCATCATCCCAGTAGAGACCCTTCAGACACTCATGCCCAGACGGCTGGTGAAGCTTACACACCCTCCTGTGAACCTACCGTGGCTGGTTGGGGGCAGTCCTCGCTCAACTCATCACCGCATCTTCTATCATTCTTGTGCCGTAATTCACAGAGGCAGCGCGCCTTAACCTGCAACAGTGCTCAAATACCCGTAATGGGCAGAGCGTAGTGCGCGAGAGGTGCACAAATGGAAGCAAAATAGGGCTGTTTCGTTGTTACTCAGAGTTTCATGGTAAAAACCAAATCATCAGACACATCGAAACAGCCCTATTGTGCTGTAACTCATAACCTTCACTGCCGCTGCTGTCACCACTGCTACTGTCGCGGACATTGAACTCCGTTGAGATGTCAAGCGGCCACGGGGCGCTGGCCCTGCAGCCGCGAGCACTGCATGCTGGTCCGTTTTCACGGTGTGTACATGAACTACAGTGTCTGTATGCGCTGCTACAGTCCATTTCAAAACTATAAACGTGCAGTGTTTTTGAAATATTTCAAATCTGGCTGGAACTTTTTGAGAATAGTTTTCGGAATATTGCTCAGGTCCGCTCCACAATTACTCTCATATAGTTTCTAAACGATAGGATAACAGACGCCCAATTTGGAAAAAATTATGCACAAAGTGATCACAGATTTTATGTGGTATAGATGCTGGCATAACGGTTTTTGTGTAGGTACGCGTCTATAGTTTTGAAATGGACTGTAGTACAGGCAGTAACGGCGCTGGCCCGGGTCATCCCATCGGATTTCAATGTCCACGACAGTACGTTGTGAGCTTGACGGAGATGTGTTGACGAAGAGCATGTTATGGTGATTATGCATTACTGTACTACACAATGAAATCCAGTCGTGTCGCTCAAGTTTGCGCCTTGCATCATTTCACGGCCTGGTGCTCACAGGTCTAGGTCTGTGCAATGCAATGCCCGGCGTGTACTTGAGTAAAGCGACTGGATTTCATTGAGCGGTGCTGTAGTAAAATGGTGGAGAGCTCTGCCACACCATCTCCAACATTCTTGCGTTGTGTTTGTGATTATCTTGACGTGCAGTCAGTGCTGGAGGATATCCTGGTGCGCTCGGCGAAGAAATGCAACACGTGAGTACTGTCCCGTGTGTGTGTGTGGGGGGGGGGGGGGGGGGGGGGGGCAGCGTGTGTGGGTGTCTATGTGTGGGTGTGTGTTCAAGGGTGAAAGCTAGATAGAAAGAGGCCGAGACAGAAGCCGGGAAACCGAGACACCAACACAAAGACAGGCGGATGCAGAGAGGAATACCTCATCATCTTAAAAAAAATAGCATGGAGAATTGAGATCGAGCCTGTTAGCAACGAGAGCACAGCAATCACCTTAAGCCGGCAGATTAATCAAGTGTCAACGTGCTCTGCCCATGATTCAAACTGATATCGGCTCAGGGCTCAATGACCCCCGCGATCCGCACAGCTCCTGCAGAAATGAAGAGCACTATAATGTAGTCCATTTAACCCTTTGGAACTGCACTGATCACACGACGTCGGGAGATAGCTGCAATTGCAAGTATATTCGTTCCAATTTCCATCATAACGCTGGTTCTACTTCACCGATTTTGACGATCTTGGGCTCGTTGGAAAGCTCTTGGAACGAGGATAACAGCGAGCCCAAACTCATTCAGGAGAGCGATTGCTGTCTGCTACTGAATGCCAGGAACGCCAGCTGAATACCAAATCCAAACCGGGAATAGTCCTTGTCTCGCCATTTCACTCGTGCTAGCTCAAAATCATTCAAATTTTTTCTAACAGACTCACAAAAGCCGTGACAAAAAGCGCTGGGAGTGATGTCACACGCTGCGTGGGCAGGAAGAGGGAAAATCCCACTTTTGAACGAAATTTGCACTTCGCTGACGCATGAGAAATCGAGCGAAAGTTCGGGCACTTGCCGCTCTGTTATACTAGCTCGTATCGACCCCGGAGTTTTTCGAGCCGACAGCTTAGATTCTCTGCTACCTCGTAGGTATTTCGATTGTTGAATTCGGTTGAGATTTGACTTAGTTGTGACTCGTTGAGTGCACTTGCACACATGACATTGGCATCGTTCGAATTCGAACGATCACCTCCAAAGGGTTAAAGCCTCTTTATCACTGCATGTCTTGGCTTTGTTGCGTGTGTGTGCCTCTGTGTGTGTGTGTGTGTGTGTGTGTGTGTGTGTGTGTGTGTGTGTGTGTGTGTGTGTGCGTGTGTGTATGTACAGTAGAGGTTGGTTGCATTTTTGAGTGCTCTGACCTCAAGTCGTTTGTGTCACGTAACACAGCCCTGTCCGTGTGGTGTAGACCAGGGCAGGGCTGTGGTGACCTCCGCCAGTGGCCTTGCAAGCTACTGCGGAGTTGTTGTTGCGCACTCACTGCACAAGTAGTCGGAAAGTTCATTTTGAGAATTTCGAAAATTTGAATTTGGAATGGTGAGGAGGACGACGACGAAGTCCAACCAGACAGAGAGGAGAAAGGAAGGAAGTGGTGGTGGTGGACGTGGAGCTGCTCTCGCGACGTGGAATGTTCGTTCCCTTGTCGAGGACTCTGGAGACGAGCGGATCTGCAGAAAGCGGCAAAATAATAATTTGTCGATCGATCGTAAATTGGATTTCTTGGTCGCGGAGCTTCGGAGATATGGGATTGCTATCGCTGCGATCCAAGAGACAAAGTGGTTCGAGTCCGATGTCTGGAGAGCTGATGGATATACGTTCTTGCACTCAGGTCGTCGTCTACCAAATGGCGATGGTCCTGCGCGTAGGAACGAAGGTGTTGGAATTATGCTGAACCCAGGGATGACGGAGGCTTGGAGACGTGCTGGTGAGCAGTGGACCGCTGTAAGTTCGAGATTGGTTGTGGCCCGTCTCAAGCTCGCGGAGGCGGGGGAACTTCGGGTGCATGGCGAATGGCAGAGAAGGAATGATTTGTATGTGACAGTTGTGAGTGCGTACGCACCAACCAGTAAAGCTACTGCACCCGTCAAAGATCATTTCTTTACAGATTTGCAGAGGGTGGTCGATGGTGTGCCAGCCAGTGATGTTCTGTTGCTGCTTGGTGACTTCAATGCTAGAGTTGGCAGCAGCAATGACGCAGGAGACGAATGGAGGGCTGTGTTGGGGAGATACGGTCACGGTGCGCGGAATGATGCTGGTGAGCGGCTTCTGATGTGGTGTGCTACCAACGGGCTGTCTGTAATGAACACCCATTTCCAGAAACCTGCGTCGAGGCGTGGGACCTGGATGCACCCAGCTACGAAGCAAACCCATCTCATAGATTTTATCATCATGAGGCAGCCACACCGTCGCTTTTGTCTTAATGTCAGCGTAATGCGAGGTGCCAACTGTTGGACAGACCACCACATGGTTCGCAGCAGGATTCTACTTGATCGTCCATTGTGCCGCAGGCCTCGCCCTGTGCCGAAACCCGCACCTGTTGCTGTCGGAAAGCTGGGTGACCCGGCCGTTCGCAAGAGCTTTGCTGAACAAATTTCAGACAAGCTCCCTGATACTGCTGATGCGGACACTGCAGCTGACCAATGGCAAGCAGTGAAGGATATAATGTGCAGTACAGCAGAGGATGTCCTGGGACCACGGCAACGCAGGCAACCCGACTGGTTTAAGGCGAGTGAGACTGTGCTTCTTCCGCTGATTGATATCAAGAATTCCGCTGGAGATGTCATGTTGCAGAAGAACACCGCGTCTTCACGCAAGAACTTTCGTCAGACACAACGTGAGGTGGAGAAGGCTGTAAGGAGTGCCAAGGAAACTTGGATTGAAGACATCGCATCCCAAGCTGAAAATGCTGCTAACAATTGTTCTGTTCGTTGGGCTGCAGTCCGCAAGTTGCAGACGCTCCATCAAGGCCGCCGACCAATGCAGCCGTCTGCTGTGTATTTGGAAGATGGCACGTTGAGTGATGGACCCGAGGCTGTCAGTGGAAGATGGCTGCAGCACTTTCAGGGTGTCCTGAACGTTGAGAGTGAGTTTGACGCAGCTGTGGTCGAGATGATGGCGGATCGCCCTGTTATTCCTGAGCTGGACCAGCCACCTACTGTTGCTGAGCTGGAGGCTCCACTGCGGACCATGAAAGCGGGTAAAGCTGGCGGTCAGTCGGGCATTCTACCGGACATGGTCTTACATGGTGGCAAAGACCTACACAGTCGCATCCTGACCATCATGCGTAAATCCTGGCTCGAAGGCACTGTAGTCGATGATTGGCGTGATGCAGTGGTTGTGCCCATCCCCAAGAAGGGAGATCTACACCACTGTGATAACTGGCGCGGCATCAGTCTGTTGGACGTTGTCGGCAAGCTGCTTGCCCGTATTCTGCAGGACCGCCTCAAAGCTATCGCTGAAAATGTCTTGCCAGACTCTCAGTGCGGCTTCAGAAAGGGACGTGGCTGCGTCGATATGGTGTACGTCGCACGGCAGTTGATGGAGAAGACGTTGGAGCATGATTCAGATGCATATGTCCTGTTCGTCGATCTGAGAAAGGCGTATGACAGTATCCCGCGTGCAGCGCTGTGGCAGGTTCTCCAAAAGCTTGGTGTTCCGCCGGCAATGCTCCGCATCATTCAGTCACTCCACAACGGCATGACTGCTTCTGTTCGGGTGGATGGCAAGCTGACTGACCCGATAACTGTGCGGAATGGATTGCGTCAGGGCTGCACTCTCGCACCAATGCTCTTCAATTTGTACTTCTCTGCCGTCGTTGCCAGTTGGAGGTCCAGTTGTCCGGACGCTGGCATATCCTTTCGATATAAAGTCGGGAGGAAGCTAGTAGGTGACCGAACGGCGAAGGGCAAGCTTCTGTCATCAACGGTCACAGAATCCCAGTTTGCTGACGACGCTGCACTCTACGCAACATCTCGGCCTGCCTTCGAAGCGATGACTTCCAGCTTCATCACATGCGCAAGCAGCTGGGGCCTGACGGTCAGTGTGAGAAAGACCAAGGGTATGGCTGTGGGTGAGTCTGCTGATCGCCGTGACGTTGTTGTTGGAGCAGACACGATTGAGGTGGTGGACCAATTCACCTACCTTGGCAGTGTGCTCTCCTCGGATGGTCTTGCCTGTGCTGATGTCCGCTCTCGCCTTGCGAAAGCCTCAGCTGTGTTCGGAGCCCTCAAAGCTCCTGTCTTTGATAACCAGACCCTGTCGCTTCGCAGCAAGAGGCGTGTCTATGAGGCTGTCGTCCTCACGACCCTCTTGTATGGTGCGGAGACGTGGACCACCAAGGCAGGCCACCTCCAGAAGCTAAACACGTTTCACCATCAGTGTGTTCGGTCCATTGTGGGTATCGGCCGTCGTCAACAGTGGGATGATCGGATCTCAACGGCCACATTAGCAGCTACATTCGGTGTTGACCCTGATATCACCCGCATCATCCGTCGCCACCGGCTTCGTTGGCTGGGTCACGTCGGCAGGATGGACGACTCACGCGCACCGAAGCAATTGCTGTTCGGCGAGCTGCCTGCCCCCCGTCCTCGTCACGGCCCGAAGAAGAGGTGGCGAGATGTGGTATCGACTGACCTGGCGGACCTCGGCGTGACCACCTGGCTTGAGAGTTGCCAAGATCGTCCCGGCTGGAGACGAGTTGCGAGTAGCACCCCACCGCCACGGCCCGCTCCTGATCCTCTTCTATGTGTCTGTGGACGCCCATTTCGTCGACCAGGAGACCTGAAACGACATGCCAAGTTCTGCGCTCGTGTTCTCACTTGAACTTTCCGACATTCGCTATCATTGCGTACGCAATGGGCAAGATCAAGGTCAAGATCAAGGTGTGTGTGTGTGTGCGTGCGTGCGTGCGTGCATGTGTGTGTGTGTGCTGCATCGTTTTCTGCCGTAGGTCTCTCTTCCTGCACTCGGTGTTACAAACGTTTGAGCCGAGTTTCACCGCCTCCAGGTGAGTGATCCCGTACATACATGCATTCCAGTTTACACACTCCAGGTGAACGATGCCGCACATACCGCAGTGTCTTGTATTAAAGCCTGTCTCATATAGAAGCCTGTTTTGAATACAAGCCTGTTTTGAATACAAGCCTGGTTTTCAAGATACATGTACACTGTCGGCACATAAGTCTGGTTTTAGTGTTGATATACATAGAAATACCTGGTTTTAGTGTTGATACTAGTGGTGAAACGAATATTCGAATATTCGAACATTCGTTCGGTTTGTCACATTCGAATATTCTTTAAGTCACATTCGAGTATTCGTTACGTCGCTTTGAATGCAGTGCATGTATATACAAGCACGCCGAACACAATACAGTGCAGTGCGTACAGCCTGCCTGTGACTTTGTACTCCATGTTTTCTCATGTATGTGCATACTGGACTGCCAATGTTGCACATAACATGTATGAACTTCGAAGTAGTCTTATGTGGCAGTGTATTTTATGTGGCACTACCGTTTGTCATACCTAATAATAATGACAATATCCATCAAATGACTGAGAGGAGGGCATGTGATGGCATCTCTGTTACCAAAAGAAATTAAAGAATATTCGTACGTTCGTTCGATAAGCCAAAGAATATTCGGTTACTAGGCTTTGACATTCGTTTCACCACTAAATCAACACATAGAAATACCTGGTTTTAGTGTTGATACACATAGAAATACCTGGTTTTAGTGTTGACACACATAGAAATACCTGGTTTTAGTGTTGACATACATAGAAATACCTGGTTTTAGTGTTGACACACATAGAAATACCTGGTTTTAGTGTTGACATACATATAAATACCTGGTTTGAGTATACTCTCACTCGGCTTTGAGTAGAAGCCTGATTTTCAAGATACACTGTCGGCACATAAGCCAGGTTTTAGTGTTGAAACACATAGAAATACCTGGGTTGACTATAAGCCTAGCCCTGACATTGGCTTCTACAGGAATAAGCCCGGCTTTAATACTCGACGTTACGGTGCATGCATTTCAGTATAGAAATGGTGTATGATGAGGACAGTTTGGCTCATACTCGCTTATCCTTGACAGCGGTTTCTTGTGATCTGTTAAGTGCGCATTTTTGCTGGCTTTTGGGACGTAAAGGCGCTGGCATGGAAATTCCAACATGTTGTATTTCAGCGCGTATCAGGCGCATACTGGCATACACTACAGTCACTTTGACTGGCGGGGTCAAGAAATTAGTGCTGTAAAATATGACTCGAATAGTTGCTGTTCTCTGTGAAAGTCTGAATGCGCATGCACCGCAAACATACCGTGTACTGTAAAACTGCTCATTTTAGCGACGGCAATATATTAGCGATTTTAGCGACGGGAATGTTTTCGCTCAAGTTTTGCCGCGCCAATCGAAATTTTGCATGTACAGTGCTAGATCATCCTTCTTTTTAAACTCCGAAACTCGGATCGCTAACACATATTTTCATCGCGAATTGGTCCAGCTTCAGAAAACCCCAAAACGGTTGACCTGTAGCGACCTCGCTGCATGACGTCAGCTCTCTCACTAGTTATACGCATGCGCATGAAACATTTCTTCCTCTTTGTTCTACAATAAGCAACACCTGTTAGACAAAGTTGCCCTCTCCTCGGAGTTGTAATTATTAGGCCCCGGGGTGGCATGTCCCGGGAATCATCTGTGTCCCCGTGAACAGATACGACCTCTGCCATCTCGGGTGCCTAAACAATACCCACACTTACACTGAACACACAGTGCTCAATACCCACACTTACACTGCTCACACAGTGCTCAATACCCACACTTACACTGCTCACACAGTGCTCAATACCCACACTTACACTGCTCACACAGTGCTCAATACCCACACTTACACTGCTCACACAGTGCTCAATACACACACTTACACTGCTCGCACAGTGCTCAATACCCGCACTTACACTGCTCACACAGTGCTCAATACCCACACTTACACTGCTCACACAGTGCTCAATACACACACTTACACTGCTCACACAGTGCTCAATACACACACTTACACTGCTCACACAGTGCTCAATACCCACACTTACACTGCTCACACAGTGCTCAATACCCACACTTACACTGCTCACACAGTGCTCAATACCCACACTTACACTGCTCACACAGTGCTCAATGGCCACAGATACGACCTCTGCCATCTTAGGTGCCTAAAGACCCGCTAAAATTAGCCGTCCCACAGCGCACCCTGCCGGTTGTGAATGTTGAGTTCGAAACAGGACGACTGACAACGGGAACAAGTTAGTGGGAACGACATTTATTATAGACGACGAGACAAGAGACCAAGACGAACGAAACGACTACATTGTGATTATTGACGAGTGAGAAAAGAGAGAGAGAGAGATCAAGTCTGAACGGCAAGATAAAGGGCCTGGGTAGCTATGGCAAATATGGGCGCGCAAGTAGCTACCCAGGCCAACGGAACAAAAGGAGACAAAAGGTGAGTACGTAAGTGCATGCAGGCCAGCTAGAAAAGGTACGGGAGGAGGTACCTAACATGAACATAGCGTTATGCACCTTTTTCTTCTCTCTTTCTGGCTCCATTAGATTTCCTGTGTGTATGTGCCTGCGCGCTTGTGCCTGCATGCTTACAAAATATTGTGTGCTTGTGCGTGCATTTAAAAAATGTGCGTGCGTGCACGTGTGTGTGTGTGTGTGTGTGTGTGTGTGTGTGTGTGTGTGTGTGTGTGTGTGTGTGTGTGTGTGTGTGTGTATGCGTTTCAGAGCAGCAAAGTTTGTTGACATGATCAAGGACTGTGATGAAAATGGCTTCTCCAAGGTCAGTATTAATGCCGGATATGCGTTTTTGTACTGTTGCTGTTGCTGTTGTTGCTGTTGCTGTTTCAGTTGTTGCTGCTCTTGTTCTTGTTCTCGTTTGATCATCATTGTTGCTTCTGCTTTTTTTTCTTTACAGCATCTGCTTTACCGCGTGCTTGGCATGAATCTGTTGCTGTGTGATCCGCCGTCAGAGGAGCGCATGGGCATACTGCGCGATGTGAGTCGTGTGCTTTGTTCTAATCTCTCTCCTTGACGTGTTGCATGCTTGGCTTGTGTGCGTACACACGCACCCGCGATCACATACGTACACGCCGTACGTACGTATACACACACACATACACATACACATACACACACACACACACACACACACACACACACACACACACACACACACACACACACACACATGCACACACACACACGCATACATGCACAAACACCAACACACACACACACACTGTCTCTCTCTCACACACACACTCTCTCTCTCTCAGTCTCTCTCTCTCTCTCTCTCTCTCTCTCTCTCTCTCTCTCTCTCTCTCTCTCTCTCTCTCTCTCTCGTTTCTGTCAAGCAGCCCCCCCCCCCCCCATCAATTGCATTGTCACTTTTCAAGTCTTTGGTTTAGGCCGATTCCACACTACGCCGAAAGTGGCTTTGCCTTGAAGGCATAAAGTGGCTTATAAAGTGAAGCTGCATTCACACCTACAAGTGTCGATCACGGGACTTTGCTTTGAAGGTTAGACTGTGAGGCTTTCCTGTGCTTGATCTAGCAACGGCGGTGGTGGAGAGGCTCTTTGTTGGTCCAAATCCTCGAATATCACCCATTTTCGCGTGCCAAATCTTGAAATTTGACCACGCTGTGTAGGTGGATTCCAGACCATAGGTCGAATATTCGTCAACCTCGCCAACAGGCATTCCGTTGGCAGTTTTCTTTGTGTATGTCTCGTACAGTCCTTTCGCCTTCGTTTTCATGTTGTCGATTTTGGAATGGACGATCGACGCAGTATAGATTGCCTCCTCCCGGAGCTGTTCAGCAAACAAATTCAGCTTGATGGCGATCTCCTCCGGCGTAGTTCCTGCGAACTGTACCGCCCGGAGGTCGCCTCAAATGTCCGTTCCAAAGCTCGATCAGCTTGCCCTCAAGCTCCTGGCTAAACATGACCCTAGGCATTGTTGACAGCTCACAACTCACCCACAACTGAAAGATACGACAGGGAACACATTCGGAAAAAATCGAAAGGCTGAAGAAAAGTCAGAAAAGTGTCCTGAAAAGGTAAAAAGTTGCCTTGAAAGAGGGTGCTGGTGTTGCTTTGTAGACAAGCACTTTTCACTTTCGCGTTTCTCAAAGTGATCGCCATGGCAACTTGCCTGAAAAGTGCCTGAAAAATGGCTTCTTAGACAGTATTTGGTGTAGTGTGGAATCGGCCTTAGGTAACAAGCCTCCTTTCCGCTGTTCTTTGTTTCCCGCCCAGGTGTGGAAGGATGTGACCAAGTTGAAAGATCCCGCGGTAAGTCTTTCTGCACTTTCTTTTGCTGCTCCGTGCCTGGGTATAATGTACCTGGGTATAACGGACCTGGGTAGAACGGACCTGGGTAGAACGGACCTGGGTATAACAAACCTGGGTATAACAGACCTGGGTATAACGAACCTGGGTATAATGGACCTGGGTATAACCTGGGTATAACGTGGGTATAAATAATTTACCTGGTATTACGAACCTGGGTATAACGGACCTGGCGTATAACGGACCTGGCGTATAACGGACCTGGGTATAACGGACCTGGGTATAACGAACCTGGGTATAACGGACCTGGCATATAAGGTATCTGAGTATAACGAACGTGACATATAAGGTATCTGGTCTACATTGTGCACACATGTACTCCATAGCATAGGAGGTTTATGTGCGATGGCCAGAATGCCAGAATGTAATACTTTTTTCTGCGTGTCCTTCTTCTTGTAGGAGTACATAGCCTGCGCTGAAGTCTGGATTGAGTTCCCATGCAAGCACTTTGGTGTAAGTATATGTTGTGTGTGTGTGTGTTTGTTTGTTTGTTTTAATAATACACGAGCAAGGAGCTGCTACAACCACTACTTTGAAAAGTATGTGCAAAGACAGTAACATATTTTTCTACTTCATCACACGTACATCCCTCATATTAATGAAAGGTAATCTCTGTATTGTTTTGCATCTGTGTTTTTGCGCACGTGTGTGTGTGCGCGCATGTGTGTATGTGTGTGTGTGTGTGCACGTGTGTGTGTGTGTGTGTGTGTGTGTGTGTGTGTGTGTGTGCGTATGCGTGTGTGACCACATAGAAAAAGAACGTCAACACGTTTCTGGCTGACCTGATGAAACATGTGACGGTTGAGCGGGCATTTGAGAACCACTACTCACAGGTAACATTTCTACAAGAAACTTTTAAACCTTTTTTGTTAGCAGACTATATCGTGTCAAGATGTCTTTGGCCAGAGGGATGCAAGCAAGAGTACATAACCCCCCAGAGTGTGCAACGCCTGATCCAGCTCTGCATAGGGTCTTGGTCGAGCGGAATCGGATCTTTGCGTCATAATACCGTACACATCTGAGGGGAACCCGGGGAGTCGCGGGTACTCTTGGATCAAAAACAATGGTGCCCTGCCTCGAGACCGGCCTTGCGCTGGTGTGAAGTGTACGCATGACATCAGAAGATCCGATTCCGCTCGACCAAGACCCTACACAGAGCTGGATCGGCGTTGCACACTCTGGGGGGTTATGTACTCTTGATGCAAGGTATAAAACGGAAGCATTTTCTGAAGAAGAAAAAATGTTGAACGGTCTCTGCTTGGATGACAGCTGCACCAAAGCTCAGTGGTTAGATGATCCCTGATCTCAAGCGAAGGTCCCTGGTTAGAGCATCGCTAGTCTCAAGCAAAGGTCCCTGGTTCGAGTCCTGGTGGTGACAGTCACTTTTCTTCAGACTTTTCCCGTTCGTATCTTTCCCTCAAACCAATGAATATTTTCTAGGGGTGAAACAAAGGTGTCAAAGGTTCGAAGAACCTTCGTTTTCAATTCAAAAGAAGGTCGACACACAATTTCTGCACACACATGCACTGATCTTCCCTGTATACACGTTTACTGTACCGTAGTTTGTACAGTCGACTAGTTTTGTGTCCACTTGGCTCCAGGTAGGTGTCACTGCAAGTCCATAGTAGGCCACGCACTGCGCTTGAGCGTGGCCATTCCCGGCCACGGTGTGCAGAAGTAGTCTTGGGCAGTTTGGGGTGCAAACTGAGCAGTGCAAAAGCTATGGACGTGCCAATTGTGGTGACTGCACAGCAAATATGTGCGCAGTCATGTACTTTGTAGGGCACATGCACAGAGTGTGCTTCAAGGGGAACTGTGAACTGGTAAAAGAATCCTTTGACACCTTCGTTCGTTTTGATGACGAAGGTTCGTTTGGCAAATTGAGACCTTCGTTTCACCCCTAATATTTTCTGAAGGGTCTGTTTTTTTCCTGTCAGCTGTTCTTGTGGAGTGTTATGTCTGTTGTTGAGGTTATACCGATGGTGACTGCTTTCGAGAGAGAGAGAGAGAGAGAGAGAGAGAGAGAGAGAGAGAGAGAGAGAGAGAGAGAGAGAGAGAGAGAGAGAGAGAGAGAGAGAGAGAGAGAGAGAGAGAGAGAGAGAGAGAGAGAGAGAGAGAGAGAGAGAGAGAGAGAGAGAGAGGGAGGGAGGGAGGGAGGGAGGGAGGGAGGGAGGGAGGGAGGGAGGAGGGAGGGAGGGAGGGAGGGAGGGAGGGAGGGAGGGAGGGAGGGAGAGAGAGAGGGAGTGAGAGAGAGAGAGAGAGAGAGAGAGAGAAGTGTATGTTTGACGAGTCCGGTCTTTGATATTGGTGGACCTATTACGACGGGGGCGCCCATGGGGTCTTCACAAGAATGTTGGCACGGCCAGCCTGGCACTCCCAACGGCCCCGCCAACCTCTCAGCACAGACTGCCTGTATGTTAGCCATGGACACGAGTAGGGTGTTGAGCTGGCAGATTGGTGTTGCTGTGTGAGTTCCAGGCGTAGCAATATAGCCGTCAGAGGTAATGGAAATTTACACCTGGACAGAGGAAGCGTGTGGAAAGTCCTTGTGACCTAGTGGCTGGCCGCAACGATGTCAGATTGTGGTGAAAGTATGGGAAAGTATTAGTGACTGGACAAGCCAACGGGTGTCGTTCCCGTTGGAGTCTTACTTGACGTCTGCATGTATGTGTGGATATGTGTGTGTGTGTATGTGCACATGTGTGTGTGTGTGTGTTCTTGTGTTTTGTTTCCGTTTGTGTCCGCTCAGCTTCAATCCATGGTCTCCAAGATAGTGGCTCACATGCACGACTTCAGTGCACTCTTCTCGATGGTAAGTGGATTGTGTGTGTGTGTGTGCGCACGCACGTGTGTGTGTGTTTGTGTGCGTGTACGTGTGAGTATGTGCATGCATGCATGCTTGGTTTCACTGTGTCAATGGAGAGTGTTTGCTGTGATGCAGTCGTTGATAGTATGTATGTATGTATGTATGTATGTCTCTGTGTGTTTGTGTGTACACATGCGTGTGTTTGTTTGTTCACATGTTCACATGGCTCTACTTGCAGGACAAGTTTCTGCCGTTCATCGACGTCTTCCAGCGCGATGCTGTCAAGGTGGATGTGTGCAAGGTGGTCGTCGAAGCTTTCATCCGGTCAGTACATAACACTAGAGTCTGGTCGTGTCGGTGTCAGACGGTCCCAGCATTCTTCTTTGAAATTCAGTCTAGCCGGCACCGTTTTGATCCTTTTTTTATAAGAAAGTTGGTTGCTACCAGCACCCAAGTTCTGAGTCCAGTGTCTGGTCAACTCGCGGGGAATTTGTTTTTCGAGCAAACAACTGTCTTTTGTTTACTGCATGATTGTACGTCATGACTTTTGATCAGTTTTTTATTGATTGGAATCCTTCCTCAGTATGAACATCTGCCATTCTCCCTTATGACCTCGCTGCAACTCGTCTTCGTCCTGTCGTGCGCCTCTTTTTTCCTGCGCCTGACTCATACGTCAAGCTGATGCTACCTATGTTCTTTCTCTGGCTGTTTTCCCCGCCTGTATCGAACAGGCATCAGGTTGATGCCACATCTGACCCTGTGACCATCAACGGCATGATGTACGTGTGCAAAGTCCTTCATGACTCGATCAAGTGAGTGATACTACAACTCTTGGCTCTGATGGACGGTGCTGTTGATCCATGGTGTTGTACCCCTGTCTCTCTGTCACTCTCTGTATCTGTGTGTGTGTGTGTCTCTCTCTCTCTCCTCTCTCTCTCTCTCTCTCTCTCTCTCTCTCTCTCTCTCTCTCTCTCTCTCTCTCTCTCTCTCTCTCTCTCTCTCTCTCTCTCTCTCTCTCTCTCTCTCTCTCTCTCCTTTCCCTGCCTCTCTTTCCCTCTCTCTCTCTAGCTTGCTCACTTGCTCACCTAACTGCTCATCCACACACTACCTCACCTGGCCACTCCACCACTCCCTCACCCGTGTGCCCCCCTCCCCCCCCCCCCCCCCCACACACACACTCATATTCACTTACTCACCCGCCCAGCATGTCTGCCATTGACGCCGTCCCTTCTGTTACTGCTCTCCCCGATTTCCCGGCTGTTACTGCTATTGCTGGTGGTGTCATTGTTGCGGTAGCTGTTACTGCTGCTGCTGCTGCATTGTGTTGATGCTTATCGGCTCACTTCTCCTTGTTTGTTTCAGTGCGCTGAGTCTCCGTGACGAGGAGCGACAGATTTCCAACTACATCGTCAACTTCCTGAGACGGGTACGTGGCACTAGTAACTGTAGCTGCAGTTCTACTCTCTCCGATAAGTGCTATTGCTTTGGAATTCCAGTGGATTGTGCTGATGATGCTGATGATGATGATGCTGCTCCTTATAGTGCCACGGTTTGAAATCTTTTATTCTCACGATGGCCTGTGGCCAATAAGAGAAACGGTTGTTGTTGTTGTTGTTGTTGTTGTTGTTGTTGTTGTTGTTGTCTGGGTGACGTACTTTGGAGTAGTACAGTCATTCTAGGTGTGTATGTGGGGGGGGGGGGGGGGGGGGGGGGGGGGCGTGCGGAGCGCGTGTGTGTGTGTGCGTGCGTGCATGCGTGTGTGTGCTCGTGTCAATCGCTGTGTGATGTAGACCAGGCTAACATTATTGGCGGCCAATTCATCAGCCTTGCAAGCTGTTGAATGGTGTAATCCCAGCACAAGTAAGTTGCTATGTCTAACATAGCTGTTCGCTATCATCGCCTCCGCGATGGGCAGGTCTGAGTTTGAGTGTGCATGCATGCATGCATTTATGGGTCTACACGCATGTGTGCATGTACTATACAGGTCACACACGGTCGCGATCTCGAGGCTCACTTGAACTTCTTGGTGGACGCCAGGGCTGGTTTCGCCAACCTACAGCCTGTCGTTATGTTTCTCGTGCAGGTGAGAAGTGGACTGTCTGCTGTGAAACCGAAAAAATCAGTGTATGTACATAGTATTCTGACCAGCCAGTATTCAACATGTTCGAGTCACTTTGCTCGGCTGCAAATGGGGTCAGTTGGCCGGGTTCTGTTCATGTACAAACGTACATAATTATTATGCTGTCTGTGCACTCAATCTGCGGACTGAACTGTTCCGTCCTTTGTGGACTCGTCAGCCCAGCACAGAGAAAATCCGGCCGACCCTGATAGCAATGGAAAATAGATTTTCCAAAGGAAAAGAAGATGCATTGGTTGCGTTGACCATTAGTACAACCATGATTCCTGGTGTGTGTTGTACGAGAACTTGTTTGAATCTTCCTTCATTGTTATTTTCACTGTCGCATCTTCTTTTCCTTTATTGCAAATTCTCCGTATAAAGAGGTAATCAGCAGCATTCGGCTCTGTATATATTTTTCATCATGAATCTGGTGTCCAATTCACCACCACCACCGTTGCGCTCTGCAGCCGACCACGTGCATTCCCCACAACAGCAACAAGAGGTTCCTTCGGATTGAAAATTCCTTCTGACAGACAGATGTTTCGGTTCTTCCTGTTTTGGAACTGGTGGTTGAACAAAATTTTCAAAGCGAGATTAAAATCATGTGAGTTCGGCGCTGACAGATTTCTCTTTGTCGTATTGGTCCCGTTCTTTACCTATTCTGTCTTGTACAGCGTGTGAACAGTCTGGCTGTCGAGACACATCGCATGGTCAAAGGCAATCATTCCCGGAAGACGTCCGCCTTTGTCCGCGTGAGTACGGCGCTTTCTTTGTATCAGTGTCTGTCCGAGCGCAAAGATTTTCATATACTACTTTATCCCTAGAGAGTAGAGATGTTGTTGGAAAGGTCTTCAGCTCAGGTTGACAGAGTTATGGCAGTTTGTTTTAAAACTCATCTATCAGGAGCGTCGGAACCGGTGCGGCGGGTGCGGCCAAATCTGCACCAAAAATTTGATCCTGTGATTTCTGGAGCAGTGCATTATGGGCTATTTGGGCTCAAGTTTCCTAAAGTGTTCCCGGCTCTCCCGCCTTTTGATGGTCACACCGATGTAGAGTACTTTGAGACACCCCTGTCTATAAGCCACACTGTACAGTATACAATGTGCGGTGTGAGTGGAACACGTATAAAGGCTATGAATATGCATGTGTGTATGTGTTTATGGGGGGGGGGGGGGGGGATGCTGTGTGGTGTAGGCCAGGCTAAAATCATTGGCAGTCAATTCATTAGCTTTGCAAACTATTGAATGGTGTAATCCCAGCTCAAGTTGCTATGTCTAACATAGCTGTTCATTATCATCGTTTCAGCAATGGGCACGTGTGTGTATTTGTATGTGTGTGTATTTGTGTGTGTGTGTGTGTGTGCACGTGTGCACGTGTGTGTGTGCGTGTTTGCGCTTGCATAGGCCTGTGCTGCATACACATTCATCACCATACCGGGAGTGACGGACGCCTTCATGAGGCTGAACCTGTATCTACTCTCTGGTCAAGTGGCACTTCTCAACCAAGCCATTACGCAAGGTGAGCAATGAGCCACTGATGGTACTGATGATGATACTGATGCTGTTGATGCTGATGCTGATGCTTCTGCTGCTGCTGTGGTTGTCTCTCCTTTTGCCACTGATGAGCAGGTTGTGCGTGCGTGCGTGCGTGCGTGCGCGTGTGTGTGTGTGTGTAGGTGACTCATTCTTCAAAGCGGCAATCAGCACCCTGTCCGAGATTCCTAAGACACAAGGTATTGAATTCGCCTACATTATACAGTGTTATTTACCAAACAACCCTACTTCTTCTCCTCCTCCTTCTCCTTCTCTTCCTCCCTCCCTCCTTCCCCCCCCCCCCCCCCTCTCCTTCTCCTCTCTTCCTTCTCCTCCTCCTCCTTCTCCTCCTCCCTCCTCCCTCCCTCCCTCCCTCCTCCTCTTTCTCAGCAATCAGGCCAGATAATCTGGATGACTGACTGGATGTAAGGATGGCAGGGTTAGGGATGTATGGATGACTGACTAGATGTAAGGATGGCAGGGTTAGGGATGTAAGGATGGCAGGGTTAGGGATGTATGGATGACTGACTGGATGTAAGGATGGCAGGGTTAGGGATGTATGGATGATTGACTGGATGTAAGGATGGCAGGGTTAGGGATGTATGGATGACTGACTGGATGTAAGGATGGCAGGGTTAGGGATGTATGGATGCCTGACTGGATGTAAGGATGGCAGGGTTAGGGATGTATGGATGACTGACTGGATGTAAGGATGGCAGGGTTAGGGATGTATGGATGACTGACTGGATGTAAGGATGGCAGGGTTAGGGATGTATGGATGACTGACTGGATGTAAGGATGGCAGGGTTAGGGATGTATGGATGACTGACTGGATGTAAGGATGGCAGGGTTAGGGATGTATGGATGACTGACTGGATGTAAGGATGGCAGGGTTAGGGATGTATGGATGACTGACTGGATGTAAGGATGGCAGGGTTAGGGATGTATGGATGACTGACTGGATGTAAGGATGGCAGGGTTAGGGATGTAAGGATGGCTGACTGGATGTAAGGATGGCAGGGTTAGGGATGTAAGGATGGCTGACTGGATGTAAGGATGGCAGGGTTAGGGATGTAAGGATGGCAGGGTTAGGGATGTATGGATGACTGACTGGATGTAAGGATGGCAGGGTTAGGGATGTATGGATGACTGACTGGATGTAAGGATGGCAGGGTTAGGGATGTATGGATGACTGACTGGATGTAAGGATGGCAGGGTTAGGGATGTATGGATGACTGACTGGATGTAAGGATGGCAGGGTTAGGGATGTATGGATGACTGACTGGATGTAAGGATGGCAGGGTTAGGGATGTATGGATGACTGACTGGATGTAAGGATGGCAGGGTTAGGGATGTATGGATGACTGACTGGATGTAAGGATGGCAGGGTTAGGGATGTATGGATGACTGACTGGATGTAAGGATGGCAGGGTTAGGGATGTATGGATGACTGACTGGATGTAAGGATGGCAGGGTTAGGGATGTATGGATGACTGACTGGATGTAAGGATGGCAGGGTTAGGGATGTATGGATGACTGACTGGATGTAAGGATGGCAGGGTTAGGGATGTATGGATGACTGACTGGATGTAAGGATGGCAGGGTTAGGGATGTATGGATGACTGACTGGATGTAAGGATGGCAGGGTTAGGGATGTATGGATGACTGACTGGATGTAAGGATGGCAGGGTTAGGGATGTATGGATGACTGACTGGATGTAAGGATGGCAGGGTTAGGGATGTATGGATGACTGACTGGATGTAAGGATGGCAGGGTTAGGGATGTATGGATGACTGACTGGATGTAAGGATGGCAGGGTTAGGGATGTATGGATGACTGACTGGATGTAAGGATGGCAGGGTTAGGGATGTATGGATGACTGACTGGATGTAAGGATGGCAGGGTTAGGGATGTATGGATGACTGACTGGATGTAAGGATGGCAGGGTTAGGGATGTATGGATGACTGACTGGATGTAAGGATGGCAGGGTTAGGGATGTATGGATGACTGACTGGATGTAAGGATGGCAGGGTTAGGGATGTATGGATGACTGACTGGATGTAAGGATGGCAGGGTTAGGGATGTATGGATGACTGACTGGATGTAAGGATGGCAGGGTTAGGGATGTATGGATGACTGACTGGATGTAAGGATGGCAGGGTTAGGGATGTATGGATGACTGACTGGATGTAAGGATGGCAGGGTTAGGGATGTA